TATATGTATATATATGTAGTAGTTAGCAGTTAGCATGAAAAGTCCGGTCAACAATCGCCCATTAAACTTTAAAAATGCACAATTTACTGTTAAAAATGTAACGAATCAGCATATAACAGTGGTCTGAGTCGGCCCTCAGCTTCCAAGAACTTTTCATCCATTCAAAACACGGCTCGTTCAGTCCAGTAACAGAACCTAGTCGGACAGCAGAACCTCCCAGTCATGCCACAGTTTCAAACAGAATAAAGCGTCTTTCTCACTGCTACAGCTTAATTACACAAACAGAATGACAATTTTCAGCTTTAACAAAAACACATTGACGTAATCTGCAGCTTCTGAACACCACAAGCATGACTTATCATGTCCCTTCAAGCTCAAAATTACGGACAACCATGCCAACACGCAGCGTCCATTTCAATAGCACAGAACTTTGTGTCACATGTAATTCATACCTCTTTAGACATCTGTACGGCCACAAGATGTCTAAAGAGGAGAATGGGGCATAAATTATCTCTTTTAGAGACTGTACACGGCCACCAGATGTAGTGTGTCAAGGTCAGCTTTGCTGTACCTTCACTACAATATATTTTAAATAACGGGTTCTCTCTTTTTCGAGCTAATTACAGCTATGTGACCGAAGTAACTGTGCATAGGTGGTTTAATCAGTGACATGAGATGTTAATTTTCTTTGACCCATCAGAATCAATGCGGTCATTTATTGAACAAAATCAAAATTCAACATCAAAACATTGTACACTTGATTAGTTGATCTGGTTCTGATTAATAAAACTTGGCACATTTTACTTGATAAAAACAACAGACATTTCTGAAGGCCTCTAGATTAATTACTGGAGAAGTAGAAGAGATTTAAAGATGGGAAATATTAGGAGTTTAAATGGAGAGGTTTGAAGGAATATGTATAAAGGGAGTGTCTGTTCGGACCAGGATGGCACGCTCCTTTCAATACCAGCTCACCTCCGGTACACTTGGCGCATCACGACTCGTTACCTTTGGACGGGGATACCTCCGCTCAGGAACAGGAGTCCATTTCAACGCGACCTTTCAGCGTTTCCGGTAAGAGCGGCTGACCATATCAGGAGTCGCGCCTCCTACTCCGTTCAACAAACACGCTCATCTCCCGGTTGGATACACAGCAAGCTGTGAGTCCGTAAGAGTTTCCACTCAGAAGTGGAAGACTCCATGAAGACTGAGTTCAACTCAAGACTGAGAACTGCAGAACTGCCGCACTGACTCCAGAACTGAATAGTTCCAGGAAGTGTTGACTTTTAAAGAGTTCTCACTTCCGGTCACTTTAGTACTTCCTGATTGGTTGAAGCAACCAACAGGGGGTGGTTCTAGTGATGTCAGAGGGTCATTACAAGTCAAGAAAACAGCAGGAATGTTTTAGAAGCGTCCCGTACAGACAGAAGACATGTTAATGTTGAAGTGGGAGGAAGAGAGGCCAGTAGCCTCTTGTTTACCATCTGCTAGGTTTAAAAACACGACACTTCGTTCTAATAACTTCTCTCTGACTTTCGACCGACATCATTACTTCTCATTTAGACAGAAGATCAAAAATGCATAATTACTTTGTAAAATAGACATTTAACTTGATTTCTAATTTAAATGAGCATTAAAAAATCATTAATACTGTTTCACAGTTGATTTAAAATGAGTGGTTCATTTCAAAATTTAGAAATGGTATGAACTAAACACACTTTTGATTTATCAAGATATTGTAAAATAGTGATGATAATATAAAAGAAGAGTGTTCTTTCAATTGATTACTTCAGGATACAATTAGACAGTCTCTGGATGAGCTAATTTGTGTTTCTGGATTCAAATCAATGAAATAACAGTTCCTGTCCCATGAAGGTCCTCAGAGGCAGGTTTTGGTCGGAGGCCGAGTTCACTACATATATATATTGGATATGTACTGGAAATGTATTCTAAATATGCTGAAGAGGAATCTCTCCAGACAAGATCTGAACTGCAGACTTTCCTTCTTGTGGTTTAGTGGAAATGTTAACCACACTTTTACAAACTTTATAACAATTTCTCTTTTAGTCAAAGTTGTAAATATAATTGTGACTCAGATTCAGTCACTAATCAGACCAGGATCCTGGTCTCGTGTGATGATAGAACTGCTCAGACAGGAAGTAGCTTTGTTTCCACTGAAGTTTGGAAACTATGGGACTGTGTTCAGGTGCAGTCTGACGGGGTCCATTCAACTCCTCTCAGCCTGGCTGTGTTCTGGAACTGTACCCCGAGCACAACAGACCTGCGGGTAGACTACAGGTACAACCCTGGATCCATGGCCTCGCCCAGTCCCCTCACCAACGTGCAGGTCTTAGTGCCTGTCGATGGGGGAGTCACCAACATGCAGTCTCTGCCCAGCTGTATATGGTAAGATCAGTGTAGAGCACTGCACCAACAGGCAGCTCTCTGCTCTAACCAGAGTTTAAGACTGTTTTTGTTATTGCCTTGTAGGAACTTGGAGCAGAATAAATGTCTCTGGAAGCTAACCGACATCTCCGAAAAATCTGAAAATGAAGGTGAGGAGTCCTTACACCATTTTATTTATTACAAAATGGTTTGCCTTGAGAGTTTTAATATTTTAATGTGAACAGAGCCTAAAATCAAGACATCGTAAAAAAAAATAAAAAAAAATAAATAAATAAAAAAACCTAAAAAAAAAAACTAGGTGAATTCCTTTTTCCAAAAATATTGACTGAGGTTTAGGTTTTAAAGTTTTGGTTCATTGTGAAAATGATTTTTCTCCAGCATACATTTCATCTTTGAAGTTTTTGTTTAAATATTGTTAAATTCTCATAATGTGAGTCTTATTATACTCCTCATGTTCAAATGTCTGAAGACTCTGTCAATTCACAAACTCAACAAAAAGCTGCAGAGTTACTGACCACACCGAGCAAAGGGTCAGAGAGTCTCAGCGGTTTATGAATCTTTTTTGTTTAGTCCAGAACTGTTTCAATGTGCTTTATGATGAGCCAGTAAGAGGCTGCTTAGACTTGTCATTTCTAATCCATCTTGGATGATTGAACTGCAAATGCATACATGAAATGGTTTTGCATGTCATTTACCTCCTCCGCAGACAGACACACACACACTGGACCGTTAGATCAGTGTTTGCTAAACAAAAAGGACTGTAACTCTCTGGCTCCTCTGTCTTCATGTCTGGAGGACATCAAAGCCTGGATGGCTGTGAACTTCTTAAAGTTCAGTGAGGGAAAGACTGAGGTGATGGTCTGTGGAAGCTCCTAAACTGTGGAACGACCTTCAATGAACATCACACGGACCTCTTCCCTGTCTGTTTTTAAATCCCTTCTTAAAACCATCTCTTCTCCCTGACCTTTGACACCATCTGAAATGTTGACTTTTAATCATTTTTATTATCTGACTGTCTGATTGTTTTATTATGTGTACAGCACGTTGGTCCTGTGGGTGTTTAAAGTGCTCTATAAATAAAGCTGGTATGGTGTTACTGTGAATGGTTCTGTAAAAATTACAATACATTCAGACTTATGAACTATATTATTATTATTATTATTATTATTATTACTTTTATTATTATTATTATTATTATTATTATTATTATTATTATTATTATTATTATTATTATTACTACTATTATTATTATTACTTTTATTATTATTACTTTCTCCAGAGCCATTTGAGATGCATTTTTGTCAAGCTCTATCCTACTGTATCTTGAAATAAATATCCTGTGTATTTAATTTCCTTTTGAGATGAATAAAGTATTTTTGAGTTGAGTTGGAACAGCTCACTGAGCCAACGCTGTCAGAGCAAAGACAGAGAGTTTCATCCATGAAACTCCTGGCATGTTGCGTGAATTAGAAGATGATGATGTGACATAACGCTGCTCAGACTCTGCTGCATGTGTGGGGTTACTTCAGATCAGGAGGTCCTAGTTCAGACTTCTGACCCTATGTAGACCAAAGGGGTCCAGACCACCTCTGTAGAGGGTCTGAGGACACGTCCGATGCACGTCGAGGCCATTTTTATCTGTATTTAGTGCAATCCAACTCCAGCCACTAAGAACTGTTTTTAACAGCAAGACTAACAGCTCTGCTCTTAGTCTTACTGTTAGTGATCAGAAGGAAATTCAAAAAGTAGATGAGTTCAAATGTTTTGGTATTTTTTACCTTTATCTAAATCTGTGTTTTGATTAGGACTATAAAATATAATCTTTACTGCTTTGTGTCATAAGATCATGTGAATGCTGTCCAGATGTGTCCACAGTCCATGATTCTGTCACACCTGTCCTGTTTTGGTCCAAACAACACAGTCTGCTTTAAAACCTGTGGTGATGTGGAGCAAAAGTCAAATACAGAAGAAGTATCATAATTTATGCTTCAACAGTTCTATATGATTTTTTGTCTTAGTGTTTTTGTTCCTGCTTCCAAAGCCAGCCTGCCTTCATGGTGGAGGAAATGATGATAACCTACGTGTGTTTGTGTTGGATGCCAGGCGCCGGTTCTCTCAGGGCCAAGTTTGACCTCTCTAACGGCCCTTCAAGCCCGTCCACGTTGGCGATGCAGTTCATGAACGACAGCAGCACACTGTCAGGAGTGGACATGGAGCTGCAGGGGACCAGATACAGACTTTCCCTCAACAAGAAAAGATTTGCCACAGGTTTGTTACCGTCCCATTTCCACCCCCCCCTCCTCAGTTTCAGCTTGTCCTCAGCTCTAAATGTGTCTTTGTCTTTAGGACGTTACATGGCAGATTGCTGAGGTGACAGCCACCCCCTCGTACCTTCATCGGGTTCCCAAGAAACAAACCTCAAACGTTTTCGAAGCGTCTTGAGTCACAGGAGCTCCACAGTCTCACACAGAAGCCAGACTGTCACGTCAGTAACAGCACTGAGTACTGAACACTGTTTCAAAATAAAAGACTAAAATGAGCTGTCAGAAAATGTGTAGATATGAAGTCTAATAATGCTTTCTGATCAATCCCTTTTGTACAGAGACAGTTTATTGATTAGCCATACATTTTTATTGTATTTGAAATTATAACAAAAAGAAAAAAAAAGATGCACTAACAACTTTCAGAAGCTCTTTTTTTCTCTCGTGCTCATTTCTAAGAGCCTAAAAGAAATATAAAACATTTCTATGTGAATGAAAAGGAAAACACTTGTTTTTGTAAATAATAATTGGATTTATGGATCAACTCCTAATCAGTTTCTGTCCTCGTGTTTGTCTTTGATTATGTGCAATGTAGCAGTGAAGGTAGAATCTAACTTTAACACATCTCACACACACGTGGCACAAACCTGATCTTTAACCTAAAAGTGCTCGAAAAACGACAACAACAAAGAGAAAATCTGACCTCAGTGCCTCCTTTTTTACTGTGGAGCAACAAGGCCAAAACATTTAAATGCACAAACATGTTTCCAGATCTGAGCTTCATTTTCTGGGATCTTTTCGCCTCTACAGGGTTTGTAATCAGTTTTTAAATGATTTTGTAAATCCTCTGAACAGTGGCTCGTACTGTTAGACGTTTTTTAACAAAGCTCGATTGTAAACATTGACTTTAAAACATTTGTTTAAATGTTAAAAGAAAAATTGAGAGACTTTACACCAAATTAAAGTTGTTGCTTGTTTGGCTGTTGATGAGAAAAGTGCCTAAATCTAACATGTTTTCTACTTCTCATGTCTGTCAGCACGGTTAACGGGAAACACAGCATCAAAGTGCCAGTTTTCTTTTTTTACTCTTATTTTTGGATGTTGAAGGGAAAGATTCTGTTTTTTCTCTTTTTTTTTTTTTAACTTCAGCCATTTTCCAGAAACAAATGAATTCTGTTTGTGGCTGAGTTTAATCGTTGAACTCTTCCTGAACACTTTTCCGTCCGGTAAATGTCCGACTGGTTCTGTCACTGTGTTTCAGGTGACTGCCGTCACCGTGGAGCCAAAGCAATGACTGAAATGCCTTTTAGTGACTCAACACTCAGTGATCCAGTGTTGCCTTTGGTTGTACCATGATAAAATACTGCCGGCAAACCTGTGACACTTACTCGCCTGCCTGTTCCACCTTTTTCCCAGTGCATTCTGGGATTGCCTTCAGATTTCTTCAGCTATGAGGAGCGTTTAACTCTTGGTGCTTTTCCCCCTTACTGTCTAATCAAGGGCTTCATCTTCAGGTGTCGTTTTACTTCCTGAGGGGGGATTTTAACTGTTGTAGGACTTTTTGGACATATCATTACCATTATTCATGTGATGGTCTTTAAAATAATGTGTTGGCTCGTAGAGTTGGGGAATCAAGGACTTCATCTCCTGCTGGTTCTGTAGGTTTGCTCACGTAATGACATGGACAGTCTGGTGTTGACATCACTTGTCTTTTAACGAAGAGAAACAGAATGTCAGCTAATGATAACACAGTGCACAAAAGTTACAAATTAATTTGCATGTCATTTAATAAATGAGGTATTTGAGACAACCGAGCCTCAGCTCGTTGGCATGACCTTAAACTGGAGGAGAAAGGAGCTGAGAACACCAGACCCACAGTCAAGCACAGAGGTGGATGCTTTATGGTTTGGGGCTTTTCTGGTACTGAACAGGGCCATGTACTGTAAAATACTGGACCAGGAACTTCTTTCCTCAATTGGGTTGTACATGGATCTTCCAGCAGGAGTATGACCCAAAACACCACACCTTAAAGATCACATCGTGGCCTAGCCGGTCTCCAGACCTCAGTCTTATAGAAAACCTGTGGAGGGAGCTGAAGCTCGAGTTGTTGAGCAGCAGCCAAGAAACCTAAAAGTTGTACAGTTTCTGTACGGAGAAGGAAGAAGAAGGGATTAAAATCCCTCCTCAGATGTGTACAAACTACAAGAAATGTCACATTTTGATTGGGAATCAAATACAGTAGTCCCTCGTTTATCGCAGGGGATCCGTACCCTGAAGACCGGCGATAAGTGAAAAACTGCGAAGTAGGGATAGTAGTACAATTAGTAAGAAGTAATTTATTTTAGTATTTATATATACAGTATATATATATATATATATAAATGTGTTTTAAACCCTTCCCACACCCTTGCAATATTGTAAACAATGTTTCTAAACTCTAAACGCTCTAAAAGAGCACTGCAGGTCATGATCTCCGCTCTCTGCCACCTACCAGCGCTCTCGGCCACGCCCACTTCTCTGCTGCAGAGCGGAGATATGACAATGCAGGAGGACGCTGGGGGCTGCGGCAGGTGCTAAATCATTTAAAATAATTTATTTTAAATAAAAATTTCATGCCGACTGTGCGACTCATTCGTCAATCATCCAATTGTGTGTCATGCTCGATCTTATTTTGAAAACCTGCGATAGAGCGAGTCCGTGAAAAACTAACCTTGAAGTAGCGAGGGACTACTGTATTTAGTTCTCTCAGTGACGTGTGAATCAATTTAAACTTTGTGTTTCTTTGTTAGAGAGCAAACTTATAGAGCCGGCTGGAGATCAAATAATTCTTCCTCTGTATGTTGTTGTCTTGAAGTCCTGATTAAATGTTGCTGCAACTGCCTGGAGCTCTGTTTCCTTCACTGCATCATGTGACCAGCAGCATCAAGTGACCAGCAGACTTCTCAGAGCACGAAACAAGTTTGTTTGGATCTTCCTTACAGCTGTTGTGGTTTTTACTTGGTTTACAGGTGAGCTTCTATCACGAGTGATTTACCAACTTTATGCATTTAAAGCTGTAGGAAGCAAATGGTTTCTCAGACTTCAGACGTTTGATTATTAATATTTCAAATGTTCCCTCTTATAGCCAGTTATAATAACTTAGCAGCAGACACTGACCCTGAACAGAGATGGCTTTTTTCTAAACGTGCAACACAAAGATTGTCCGGGAACTTTTCGAGGCAGTGAAAGTGAATTTGTTTGAATTCTAGAAATGACGTTCAGAGATATTTGTACTGTCAACAAATCAATCTGTAGTTTTCTGTAAATTAATTAAAGCTTTTGTTTTTCACCCAAAAGTAAATTTAATAAATGAGCACACAAATTGTGTAGCGTTTGAGCAAGCTGGTTCTTGCTGCCCCCATGAAACGTTCCAAATACATTTTCCAAGGGTCTCCACACACGTTCTGTTTCTGTTCGACCTTTTTTCTGTTGTATCAATCAAAGATGAAATAGAGCAACGTTGTGTAAATTATTCTGATCAATATTTCTGCCATTTCTGTCTGATGATTTCTTTCTGTGCCTGTATTAAATGTGTAATATATGAATATATACAAATATATAAATAACAACTTCAGGTGTGACGTGTGGTTTCTTTAGGTGTGTGTGTGTGACAGTTTTCAACAACAAAAAATCAGTTATGTCATATTTATTAAGAGCACATAGTTTTTTTTAAGTTTTTTTTCAAGATGAGATGAAGTGTCGGGCAAACATTCTTCATAAGAAGTGATCATCTTACAGCACCAGTCTCTCATGTGACTGAGCTCACGACGCCTGGCGCAGAGGGGAGCAGGAGAAAGAACAACAACCCTGGAGTTGTGTTCCCATTAACCCTCTGTTCCTACATCCACTCCAGCAGCTTCCCATTGCTGCAAGGAGCGACTCAGCCCTCGACATGTTCCCTCCTCTCCTTGTGCTTATATCTTTTATTGAAAACAACAAAGTCCATGCTCAATAATCCAGGAATACAATCCAACATTTTTCAGTCACGTCATCTGGACCCATCCATTGGATCCATCCATTTTCTTCCGCTTGTCGGGTGGTGGGGGTAGCAGCTTAAGTAGGGAGGCCCAGACTTCCCTCTCCCCAGCCACTTGGGCCAGCTCCTCCGGGGGAATCCCGAGGCGTTCCCAGGCCAGCCGAGAAACATAGTCCCTCCAGCGTGTCCTGGGTCTTCCTTTGGGTCTCCTCCCGTTGGGACGTGTCCAGAACACCTCACCAGGGAGTCGTCCAGGAGGCATCCTTGGAGAACACATCTCTTTAGACTCGCTTATCCTTATCTTTGCTGTATGTATTTTATATTCTTTATGCATTTTATATTCTGTATGTATTTTATATTCTTTATGTAATTTATTCCTGTTGATCTTTGTTCTTACTGTAAAGTGTCCTTGGGTGTCATGAAAGGCACTTTTTAAATAAAATGATTATTATTATTATTATTATCCTAAACAGATGCCCGAGCCACCTCAACTGGCTCCTCTCGACGTAGAGAAGCAGCGGCTGTACTCGTGAGTCCCTCCCGGATGATCGAGCTTCTCATCCTGTCTCTAAGGGAGAGCCCAGACACCCTGCGGAGAAAACTAATTTTGTCCGCTTGTATCCGAGATCTCGTTCTTTCGGTCACAACCCAAAGCTCGTGACCATAGATGAGGGTGGGAACGTAGATCGATTGGTAAATTGAGAGCTTCGCCTTTTGACTCAGCTCTCTCTTCACCACGACAGACCGGTACAGCGCCTGCTTCACTGCACATGCTGCACCTATCCGCCTATCGATCTCACGCTCCATTTTTACCTCATTCGTGAACAAGACCCCAAGATACTTGAACTCCTCCACTTGGGGTAGGACCTCCTCCCTCACCCGGAGAGGGCACTCTACCCTTTTTTGGCTCAAGACCATGACCTCGGATTTGGAGGAACTGATCTTCATCCCGGCCGTGTCGCACTCGGCTGTGAACCGCTCCAGCGAAAGTTGTAGATCACAATCTGATGAAGCCAATAGAACCACATCATCTGCAAAAAGCAGAGACGCAATCCTAAGGCCACCAAAACGGATCCCCTCAACACCTTGGCTGCGCCTAGAAATTCTGTCCATAAAAGTTATGAACAGAGTCTGTGACAAAGGGCAACCTTGGCGGAGTCCAACTCTCACCGGGAACGAGACCAACTTACTGCCGGCAATGCGGACCAGGCTCTGACACCGGTCATACAGGGACCTAACAGC